AAAAAAAAAAAAGAAAAGAAAAAAAGAAAAGCAGCGGCAGTGATTCGGTTTTGAGCTGGGGAGGGTTCATGTGGACTCCGACAGACTCCGCATTTACATCCCCGGCTCCTCTCTCTGCCTCGCAGCGGGTTGGAATTAGCCCGAAAGTTGCTGTAAAGACTTGCAAATGGACCGCATGGCAAAGTGGGAGGCTGGGGATGTCTGAAACAGGCTGCGGTTCGGAGGGGGATTAGGCTGGCTCCCAAGGGCGAGCTTTAATTAAAGGTACCACTAGGGCACAGAGTACAGGAATTCTTAGCATCCTCAGTTCTGGTCTAAAAGCTGCCCCTGTTTAACTTTATCCCCACGCTTTTTCAGCAACCACCTTCCCTCTGGCAGTACTACTACCTCCATTTTTTTTTTTTAAAGGACCAGAAGCTGTCTTGTTGAGAACTAGATTTTTGGGGTTTTTTTGGTAAGTGAGTATTAGACAGCATTTTTTTTTTTTTTTACAGTGTTACATAACACCTGAAAGGGCAGAATAAATATGTATGTAACAGCTAGCTCCAGTAGATCTATTTTATGTACTACATATACAAATATATATATTTTCAATTGCTTTCTATGTAGGTGAGGACATAGTTGCAGCTTTATGCAACACTCAGTGCAAAGGACTTTATCAGTGGGAGTTTTGCTATTAACTTTGTAGACATCACGACAGGGGAAGCCCAGTGCTCTGTAAAAAACCATTGTGCTAAATGACCAGAAAATAGCTCAAAGTACCAGAAATGAGAGTTTTTAGCTGCCTGGGTCCTGGGCTTCTCATTTTAGTACTTGAATTTGATGGGGGACTTTGTACAAGTCAGACAGCAAAAATCATGCCCGTCCTTTGCTCCTGAGGAATGCGAAAGCATTAGACAGTTCTCAAGTGAAATAGCTTGACGTAAGCGTAGTGGATTTGGCATTTACTTCTTGGATATCACTTTCATAACATAATGCACTCAAGTTTTGGCCTAATTTCTGCCAAAAGCGGGCATGCTGTGGGTACAATAACTGTTGTCACATGTGTTTTTTCTTT